ATACTGAATATGACTTATTTTAATGTAATCACAGGGGAGTAATAGCATTTATAAATGTTGGGAGAATCATAAAACTGAATGTTTTTCATGATTATTTCAGTTTGATCACATCCTGGGCAAAAAAAAAAAAGAGTGTAACCCAGTTGTCGCTGTTTGCACGGATTAGACACCCTCACTCAGACGGACAGCTGAAGTTTAAACATAAAAATGTATCTATTTTAAGTGTACCAGCCAAGCTTCATGCTGTTATGATGATAAACACTAAAACACACTTAAAGCAGCACCGACACTCATGTTAGCCCACAAGCTAGCTGTAAAAATACACACCGCTTCTATTTTCCTCCGTGTTCGCTTTCGCCGTTCCGTCCTCCTCCTCCTCCTCAGCCTCTGACCAGTCAAACGCCCGCCGCCGGTTGCCAGGGGCCTCGGCCATTTTTCCAGCCGCTGTCGGGTCCTCTGGTGAGGCGCATGTCGTTTTGTCTGCTCCTCCGGCGGCGCTAACCTCCGCTCCCTGCTCATCGTCCGGGCTGCCCGCTGCTTCGTCTTCCTCCCTCCCGAGGCTGCACACCGACTCCGCCGCTTCGGCCTTCTCCCCAGATGTGTCCACCTCCTCCGTGGGGGTTTTCTCCCTGTTCGGAGACTTCGATGGGTCTGCAGCGGCCATGTTTCACCCATGAAACCTCCACCCCCTTCTCTCCTCCCCTCATGTCCAGGGCAACACAAGGATCGTGCGATGAGAGCCAGGAATTGCATTTCCGGTCTGACCCTTCAAAATAAAACGACTCCTGCTAAAACAGATGTGATTCATTACTGAAGAAACCCAGATTTGAAGCTTTAAATTATATATTTCCAGTTTCCTACTGTTGTGATTATATTGTCTCACACACTTAACGATTTCTTCACAACTTCAGTCAACACAAGTAAACTTTCAAACTTTCTTATTTACCTTTTGTATGCCATGTGACAAACTGACTTTATTTTTGCAGTCCACTGTTGTTGTTTTATTAGGTTTAGTTACATTTCATCAGAACAGTACCTATCTACAAAATATAACTTGTGCAAAACTACATGGATGATAGCCATATTATGATTCTTTGCAGCTATTTACAAACACATCCATAATACTGCATGCAAGATCATCAATAGCCCCTTTTAAAATCCACCATAAATACAAATTTAAATCTGAACCATACTGTAATGTTCATATATGGAGGTTTTACCATCTGCAAAAAACTTTTAAGTCAATAAAATATAGCATTTTTGTCTAACACAGCTTAGCTTTAGAGTCCAATCACAACTTGGACAAGTTTTTGTTACGAAATCATTAAAACAAAAAATTAAAGGTGCCCAAAGGGGCAACGTTTATTTATTTATTTATTATTATTTGTTTTTTTTGCTAAATATTATTTCACCTATTTTCTCTTCCCTTCATTTCTGTTTTGTGAAGGCATAGAAATGCTTCTTAAATTAAAAAGAAAAAAGCACAAGCTTACATTAGCTGGTAACTACAATGGCTGCAAAACTACAGTATATGGAAACAACTGCAAATCACGCATAGTTTTTGGGCAACGCACTTATTTTGGAGAAATGAGTTTGAACTGTTAAGAGCATGAGGGAAATGTGCACATCTGCTGTTTTTCTGAGCACTGAACATTTCACAAGTGAAGCTTTCGCTCCATTTTTCCAGATGTTCTCTGTAAAGTCTTTAYGAATACGCACACATTTCTGAGAAATGAAGGTAATGTTAAGGCCACCCTATTGTCTTGGGACAACTTATCCAAGCTACTTCGGTCCTTCCAGATTTACAAACCTACGTATAAAATGGGTTGCAGATGTTCAGTTAGATGGGATTCAGCAGGTAACTATTAATCATTACAGAAATACTGCAAGTAAAAAGAGCATCGTTACATGTCACATTTTTTTTTTAAAACATCAAATATGCACCGTGTGGAGTTCTTAAATACATTCTCAGCGTCGCCTTCTGCGCCTGTGCTCCGCAGCTCTCCCTCGCCGTGGCTTCGGGACGTTTCCGTTGGTGCCCGCGGTCGGATCGGGAGGAAAAGTGCCGTGTGAATCCGGGGGCGACGGTGAAGGGGCCACAGCTGCGGCTGAGTGATTATTTAAATGTGGGGCGGCGTGCGGCTGCTGCTGTAGCTGTGTTTGATGCTGCTGTGGGTGTTGGTGTGCAGCGTGCGAGTGCTGTGGTGTTTCAGCCAGCTGCTGCTGCTGGGGTTCTAAGGGCTGGAGCTGCTGCGGCTGTAAGTGCTGTTGAGGCGTTTGTGCCGAGTGCACTTGTTGCGCACGGTGTTGCTGAGGCTGCGGCGGCTGCTGCTGGGCTTCGAGCACTCCCAAAAGCCTCTGCAAGAGCACGTTGTTTTGTTGCAGACTGAGCGCCAACGCCTCCTGCGACGCAACGAGGGTTCTCATGTCCTCCCTGAAACCTTCGCCAAATTCCCGGAGGCTTTTTTCTACCCGATTGCCCAGCTGGATCGCCGCTTCCCCTAACCCCCGAAGCTCATCTTCGAGCCAGGAGCTGCGCGGGGGAACTTCGAGAGGACCCTGCTGTGCTCCGAGTGACGGCTGGGGACTGCTGGGTTGAGGGCTGCCGTTCAGGAAGGGAGCGCTGTAGAGAGGGGAGGGAGGCAGCCATCGTTCAGACGGAGGGGGTGGTCCTATTCCCAGGCCCAGTCCTAATCCCAGCTTGTCGTCCATGCTGTTCTCTACTGGCTCACAATCTGGATCTCCTATGTCTCTCTCACGCTCGTGATTGTCCTCTTCTTTCTCCAAACCGTCTCGCTCCGATCCATCCGCTCCTACACCTGGATGAAGTGGACAAAATCAAGGTAGCTGGGCTCGCAGGTGTGCAAAGAGACGTTTTCTAAAAGAGATTATTACCTGGGTCAGAGTCAGGGAAGCACGTGAAACTAGGCTTTGGTCGGATGCTTTGCTTCTGCCTCGACTGCTGAAGCCTGGGGCTCGGCTGGGAAGGGCGCCCGAGCAGCGACGCCCCCCTGCTGGACGGCAGGTAGCAGCTGCGGTGACGAGCGTCCGCCAGCCGGCCCCCGTTGCGCCTCTTCAAGTCGTCCCAGCGCTTCTTCACCTCCCGGAGGGTCCGCGGCACTCGGGACACGGCGTTGACCCGCTCCAGGATTCCAGCCCAGATCCGCTCCCTCTCTCGCCGCCGGAGGCGCCCGGCGGGACCGAAGAGTTCGCCCTCGCACCGCGTCACTTCGGACACCAACACCTCCAGCTCGGCGCCGCTGAAACGACTCTTGCGTTTGCCCGCGCCGCCGGCGGCCAGCGCGGCCGACATGGCTCTGTCTGTGGACAGACAGCTGGGATGAGCTTCAACTGCATCAACATTTGTAGCAGAGAAGCATGGTTAATCACAGCGTTCACACTGTTAAACATCTAACTCGTTCCACAATTTTTCTGCGATTTCAAGTCAGCTCATTCATGTGTGGGGTGCTATGACTTTTGGTGTTTCAGCTTTTT